ACCTACTTTTAATCAAGAGAACGCGAATGGTTTAATGGAAACAATTATTATTATAACCCATTGTACCAGTGATTGTTTTACTGTGCCTGTTTGTTTAGGCTGCAATAAACGCAAATCAATTTCGTAAATGTGCCCTTCAGCTTAGCAACCAATCAGAATGAGGCGGGAGTTATTACATCCGCCATCTTCGTAAGCAATGGCGGTCGGCTTTCTTCGTTCTGTACTTCTTTCAGCTATTTCTTTTGTGTAGCTACGTAATTTGATGTTTCAGGTGCTAAAATTCAGAAGTTAGTGTAATACTCTGAACGTTGGGGCAAAGTTTTTCCTGATTTTGCTTTGTTTTCTGGGTTTTACCTGCTGCTAATGAAGTCACTGTATTTATTCAGCTAAGCTGGCTAGTACTAACATAAGACCTTACGTTTTCAAACGACAGTCGGTTATGTTTTACCTTTGTTTACTAGATCCGAAGCCAAAGTTCGTTTTCATTTAGCTAAATAATTGTTGCTGCCGCCTGTGACTAACTGTTAGCATGTTCGTTCCTAACTGTCCTTTAATTTTCTTCAGTAGTATGGACAACACTATCCCACCAACGAGTTAAACTAATACAGAGTGCCCAGCAGTAGGGTATATCGATACTGATTTCGTAAGGACCCAGACTTCCGACAACTATAGATGAAGTCACAGATGCTACCAATCTATTGCAGAGGGTTTGTTATGAAAAATATGCCATATAGCAGTAATAGAGGGGTTGTACTCATTACTCAGTGCGTTAAAGCAAGCTTAACATTGAAAAGCCGGAAATCTGCTACCAGTGTCTAGTGTATATTTGCTGTTTTGGCCATAAAAGGAAGCCGACGGGTCATGATCAGGGAGTAAAAAGGTAATTAACTGCTATTAAGCTCACTTTTTTATAGATCATATTTCACCACTCGCAAATATGCGTTTTCTTACGGTATGATGTCAACTGGTACCTAATATGTTCACCCTCACGATGAAAAGTACCTGCAAATTTTCACCTCCATATTCGAATTATTTTTGGACAACTGTCTTACAGTCTGAGTGCTTCGTACGCCCCGAGAAACTCTGTTTCTACAACATTCGTAGTTCCAGTATAACTTTCTCATGCAGTAACTTCAAAGTAGACACCAGTGTTTCTGAATAAGGCTGTTAATCTAATATCCATATTCTCTATTTCAGTTAATCGATGAAGACATGTACCACATGCATCTGCTGTATACTGCCATTTTACTCCAATTCTAACTGTTATATCTTACTTTTTAATAATAAAATTGCTATATGCAGCAAATACAGGCTTATTTGTTTTGATGGAGGTAGGGGGGTTCATGGGATTTTCACTAAAGAGCTAAGCGAGTGCGTAAACCAGTGTAAGCTACCATACGGGGTGCATTTGAGTTAATAGTGTTCCATTAGTGCGGGTAGGGGCATTGCTTGCTTGTCATATGGCATTTGAATTAGAAGCTATAAAATAAGACGCAGGTGCGGTTAGGATGTGTAACGCGTGTCCATCCATCAGCTGGCGTGACAACCCATGGTGGTTAGAATAAGCTATGAGAGGACCCGAGTCTGTAGGTCTCCCGAGGAAATGACGAGGATATGCACCAAATCATCTTATGAAGAGCGCCTTCAATCACTTAACCTCTACTCATTAGAGTATAGACGTCTTAGAGGTGACCTAATGGCTTACAATAACCTTAACACTTCTGGACATCCCCTAAAACACCTAATTAAGCTTAGTTCCAACACTAACCTAAGGGGTAACACCCAGAAACTAGAGACACAACATAGCAGAACGGACTCCTTAAGAGTTGTCAAATGCTGGGGTTTTCTGCCGGCCGAGCTAGTCCAAGCGACTTCGCAGGAGTCCTTTAAGAGGCAACTGGGTTTATTCTTAAGGACTAAGTATAGTATCATACTATGATTTACCAATTTCTTTTTCCTCTTTTATTGTTAACATACCTAGTTTTCTGCCTTGAGGTATTGGTGATCCCCTGCTACTAAACACGGAAGCCTGTTAAGCGAAAGTTTCTTCTATTCCGTCCACAACCATTTGAACACATGAACTAGGTGCTGAGTGGTTCGTGTATCACAAGTTTCTTGCAACGATTAAGTAGATAAAACAAAGTAGTATTAGATTCAGAAATTTACTCAAGAACTTTTATTAACAATCGAATATCAAACAAAGGTTTAAACCAAGTTCCCGTTTAAAAGTTGTATTGGTAATGTTAAGCTGCAGTTTTTGTTGTTTTTTTCCAAACGAAAGAGTAAAAGAAGTCACAAAATACTGGAAGTGGTTGTGAGACTAAAATGGAAGTCCAGCATCCTTTTTATCATCTGCTGTTCGTTGGATCTCCCGTAAACAGTTCCATAGGGCCATAGTTCTAAGGGCGAAACAGTTTTTATGATCTGTGAAGACTCACTCCTGTTGCATTCTAAATGAGAAATTGTAATGAATTTAGTCAGAAATGTGGAATGGATAAATAACCAAATTACGTTTTCTTAGCAAAGAATTTATGCAGTTGTGATTTCCCTTGAGTTCATGAATATTAGATCAGGTCAGCTACTATTACTTGTGCAAAACATAACGTGGACTTAGTACCATATTGCAAAGCTTTTACTATTTCGCACTCATTTAAGTATTCCCATGCATCTGCGTCTAGTTTAACAGAAAGAAATACAAGCAGAGTTAGTGTCTGATAAACTAAAAGTCTCAGTTGTCAAAAAGATTCTAAACATTTGTCCACAGCCAGCTGAATTTAATTCAGACACAGAACACTCATCTTCTAAGACTGTATACTGCTCTTCTGCAGGCAAATAAAAGCTCAGACACTTAGTTATCCTACTACCGATGTTATTGCTGGGGAAATTGTTTAATGAGAGTGGTTTTGAAACATGAACAGTGTAAGACGTACTGTTTACAAATAAGCACCAAACGTACATAAAGCTATCTTATAATATACGACAGCAACAGCATCAAAAGCACGTTTCCTTCCTATTTTTAATCAGACTGATCTGAATCCCTATACACATTAGAAACAGGCAGCTCTACTTACTAAACTGATTTGTTTCGTTACAGGCTTCAAGCACTATACTTAAGTATATCATAATTCTTTCAACTAAACTGAATTATACGACAACCAAGAACACTAAACTAAGCAAGTGTCATAGTTATTGTTTTACTTGCAAAGACATGTTGCTCAAAGTAGGTAAATGGGCATAATTAAGCCGATAAAACCAAAACACGAAATATAGGCCAGTTGAACTTACCTAAGAAAAAAAGGTTACATATATACTGCTTTCATACTGAAGACAACAGGCAGTTGTTCATAGAAACATAGTTTACAGTACAACAAACCTTTCTTCAGTAAAATCATGCACTGACAGTCTATTTGGAAACAATCAACTATGTGAATAAACTCACTATGACTTGAGATATCATCTCAGCGTGCAATAGACGTACAGTGTAACGCAGTTGGACGTGGCGAATAAAAATTAAAAACAGAAAAATTAACTACATAATCTAGTTATTTAATTAAAAATACATTATGAAATGACAAAACCTATGGTTACTTGAACGCACAAATGACAGTGTGCGATACATTAAGTTTACATGGTTGCGTTGCGGATAAGATCACCCGTTTGTTTAACTGTACCAAAGACATCCATTATTCTTTCATTCTTCATCCCGTTGGTTGTGACCTTGCGCAAACTTACGTTCGCCCAGTAAATCCGCTTGTACTCTTTTGATACGATCTCGGCATTCTTTCGATACCACGAGATCACCAGCAACCTTAAGTCGCCTTCTGATATTCGGCACACAACCTTCCTGTAGGGGTGATCATAGTCAACCGCGACTCGACGCCACACTATGAAATGAACAGGTATATGGTATTGGCAGTAATAATCTTAACGACGACGACCGGAACAATAGTGATTGTAATTGTAGCAGGCGAGATATGAATCCAGTCATCTGACACACTGAGTCTTAAAATCAGCTGACTCGCCGTAACTTGACAGCTTGATTGCAGCTCTAGAGAATTTAAGTTTTCAGTATCTGCCACTGTACTGAAAAGTAATTTTGTTAGTCTAAGAACAAATGTATTATCTCAGTTCACTACTTCCGCCTACATCAACTGCATTTTCAGTTGATCTGTAAGATAAAGCAGAATTTTGTGCAACTGTGATGAAAAGTAATTGCAGTTGTTCATAAAGATCCAAGGGTTTCATTAATGGAAAGGTGTGTAGAATTATGGTCTACTTCGATATTAGTACCGCTCTAATAATAGACTTAGTTCTAAAATTGCAGATTTGTTATGATGTAACTGCCTAATCTATAAGATCTTACGTGAAAGTCACATTATTATTTACACCAACTGATCGCATCGTACCAATCACCAATATATGATGGAGAACAAACTTTGGCCAGAGATAGAACAATATATTTAGTATGAATGAAAGATTACATTACAACAATTAAGAGTGACCACTCCTGAAAGGTCGAGCCAAGCCGTCCGATCAATTCGAATTTTTTCCACTTATTGTTCCCGCCTTCTCTGTCGTTGGGTTTTTCGCCGCGTTAAATGTTGAATATCTGTTTTCTCGAGAGTCTCGTGTTCATCACTGAGGATTATGTGGTTGGGGCCCAATGCTACAGGTTTTTAGGTGCAATGACCTTAAGAATCAAGACATACTGTATAAAATACGACAAAACAATAATGCCTTTTAAGCACCATTATAAAACTTGACCTGAGTAATCACAAAAATGCATGTGATTGGGGTTGAAGCGAGAAGTTTATTC